CCTTCCTTCCTCCTTTTTTTTTTTTTTCTTCCCATACTCCATGTCCATTTTTTCTTTTTTTCCTGACCTTTCCTTTCCCCTGATAAATTCTAACTGGTGATTATCTGAGAGTCTGTATGATGTACTCTCATTGGCCTACGGAAGTAGTCAGCTGCCCTTGAGGGAGGGGTCACAGTCTCTGAGGATCTACAAGCGAATCGACACTAACAATTCGAGGACATAAACTCAAAGATACCATCATGTCTGGACAGAAGGGTGACGACCAGTGCAGGGAATTTGGGAGGGGCGGTTGGCGCATCGCTGGGGCAGGGCAAGGGGAAGAGCTCTAGTTTTCTGCCATTAGACGCTCTGACATCACGTGCTCCTGGGAGCAGAAAGGAAGTCCATGTGGAGGGTGTGTATTGCAGGTGCTGCTGTGGTGCTGAATTCTCAAGCTTTCGGTTAACACCTGGCTCTTTCGTTCTTTGGCCTTAGAATTTTGCTCTTGGCAAAGGCGACGAAGAAGTAATTTCTACACTCCACTATTTTTCCAAAGTGGTGGATGAGGTAAGATAGCAAGCAACATGGCAAAATTTTATTTGATTCTGGACCTTCATTTATTTTGGCTCACCTTCCATTTTGAGATATCTGAGACAGTATCTCAACTTGTTGGTCACCCAGGGTTCGTTTCATAAGAAAAGTTGTGTAATATCATATCTGTTTCTGGTTTGAGGGGAAAGGCTTTGCTAATATGTGAACAACAGACCAAAAGAAAGATTTTTCAAGAATCCAGTTTCCTAAGGAGAGCATATTAGTCTTTCACAGCTGCTGTAATAAATGACAAGTAGGTGGCTTAAAACAACAGAGGTTTATTCTCTCTCAGTTCTGGAAGCCAGAGTGTGAAATGGAGTCGTCAGCAGGGCCATGCTCCCTCCATGGCTCTCGGGCAGAGTCCTTGCTCACCTCTTCTGGCTTCTGGTGGCTTTAGGTGTTCAAAAAGTGTATTCAAGGAGATGGGTATCTGTTCAAGAAGAGGAGGAAGATGAATAGAAAATGTAATTAGAGAGGAGCAAAAAGTAAATTTTTTGGCACGTGAGGAGAAGAATGTTTGTTTATTAACAGTGAATAAATAGCCCAGGCGGAGAAGTGAATACTGCACCCACTGAAGTCATGTTTACTTAGCTAGAAGAGAGTTGCTAAGGGAATGTGGTTGGTTGTCAAAACCCCAGAACCAAGATTTCCAGTTTAAGATACTTCCTCACCACCAGTTTTTCAT